CCCCTCAAACAGATTATTGCCATTTTGTGCCTCAAATAAAATAATAAAACTTTTTTTAATACACCATTTGTTTCGCTTAATATAACAATTAGTTTTAGTTGTGTTTTGTTTGACAAACATTTAGTTTTAGTGAATTTTTTGTGAGAGTTATGTGTGTTTTGTGGCATAAGTTGTATTTTGTACTCAAAAATAACTAATTATATATTTGTGTTAATGTTTATTAATATCGCATAATATATTAATATTATATTCAAGCATTTAAAGTGTATTTTATTTAACTGTAATTTAATTCCTATTATACATATGTGTGTTATATTAACGGCAAAAAATACGATATCATATTTTAGAGTGAGATTTAGTGGTTTTTTGCGATAACAAAAAGCATATCACCGGTTATTATCGCCACACAAAAAATGCATAATACCATCAGTAATAATAGGAAAACTCATAAAATATAATACCACTGATAATAGCAATAATAATAATTTTTATATACCGTATATCCATATCACACACAACTTATATGGTGTACAGCGAAGAGTATTGCAAAAATCAAGTATAATCTTATTTCTCTATAGAAACAATGGATAAATTGGTGTTCAAAATACAAATTTCAATCACTAAAGTGTTACCAGATATGAAGAGGTGGTGTGTTTCTGATGCCTGATTCAAAAACTATTACTATATTATAGTTGTTGGCTTTAAAACACATATACAATAAGTAAGTCATATAATAATTGTTAAACTAATTGTTAGATAAAAAGTGAAAAATAGTTTTAGGATTTTTCACTGAATTTCTAACTAAATTCATCAATTTTTTTTGCTTTAATTTCAGCGATTGTTTGTATCGATTGTGTGTTTTAATCGCAATCAAAATAAAACCACTTCACAGCCAAATTAAAGCCACAAAATGCAAGCCATTAAATGTGTTGTCGTTGGAGACGGGTATGAATTACACACAAAATTAATTTACAATTAAAACAATTTTATAAATAATGAATAAACAAATCAATAATAATAAAACATTCAATTCCTATCCCTTAACTAAACACAGAGCTGTGGGTAAAACATGTTTATTAATAAGTTATACGACAAACGCATTCCCGGGTGAATACATACCGACCGTATTTGACAACTACTCGGCCAACGTTATGGTCGACGGAAAGCCCGTCAATCTCGGCCTCTGGGATACGGCCGGTCAGGAAGACTACGACCGACTGCGGCCCCTATCCTATCCCCAAACGGACGTATTCCTCATCTGCTATTCGGTGGTCAATCCGTCCTCTTTCGAGAACGTTAGGATCAAATGGTTTCCCGAAGTGAGACACCACTGTCCGGACAAACCCATTATACTCGTGGGCACTAAACTGGATCTGCGAG